ACCTTTCACGGTCGCGGTATTAGGCATTTCTCGGCCTAGAGCTAATGGTTTTGGGTGCTGAGTGACTGGGGCCGTCACTGGGCCTCGCCCACGGTGCCTGTTCTTCAGAAGGAGGGGCCGGTACATGTATTGGAAAAAAGTTTGCCAGAATCAACTGTACGTTAGAGGCGCTCCAGCGGTTGTGCGAACGCGCAGATGTCCGTGGCTGTTCCCTCCCTGATTGGTGGAGCTTGGCGCGCCAATAGCCGCCGCCCGGCGCCACTTCCTGGTGACGTTCATATGAAGCTTTTTTCAAATCTGGAATCAGTCTGTGCTCAGATCCGGTTGCAGACCTTTTTAAAGGGATTTGCCGTATGGAGGAAAATAGAGAGCGGCTTGTGTTTTCTGACAGGCTTGGTGAGGTTCCCTGCGAACACCGCGGCGACACCATATTCATGTAGTACAAGACGTTACAAAAGGCCTGCATTTTGCATGATAGGTCACCTTGATAAGAGCATTGTAAAGAGTCGGGGCTTGTGTCTCTGCTTGTCCTACTGAGTCTGATAAACAGCGTAATAGTGTGTGGAAGTATTAGATGCTTTCACAGGATAGATGATGTAGCGCGAATGGCGTTGCTTATGTTAAACACTGCATGCTGGTGTTCACCTATGATTTTATATTAGATAGTGTGATTCCTTTTTTAGGTGTAAACAGGCGAGTGTTTTCTCCACTTTTTGTGGAATCACGCTTCCAGTTTGTGTTCGGGGCGCGCCAAAACTGCCCTATTCCGCTTTTACAAGAGTACGCTTACGACCTTCCTTTTGATAAAGCCTTAATAGGCCTGATAAGAATTCAATCTGAATAAGAGGTGCATTGATGGTAGATACGCCTGTGCCCTTCGTTATAGAATTGATTTTTATCCAGCTAGTCAAGCTTTTATCAAAAGGGTGAAGCGTCGTAGACGCTCATCCTCTGTGAAAAACGCGATAGGCCAGTGGGCCCGCGCCGAACACAACTGGAAGCCTGATTCACAAAAGTGGGGAGGAAAACATCCTGTCTTAATAAAAAGGAATCTGAATATTGAATATGGAACAAACAGTATGAATGAAGCAACGATGCAGGTTTGGGGGTACATAAAGGAACATTGCTAATATCGTAATTCTGCTGAGAATCTAATAATTCGACGACACTATTAGCCTTTGGTTTATGACTCATTGGCTAGGAAACAGTTTGCAGAACGTCCGTTTACAATGTTTAAAGCGTGACCTATCATGGCAACAATGCAGCTGTTTGTACGTCTTCTCATACATGGAATATGTGTCCCCGGTGTTCCAGGGGAAGGCTCACCAAGTGTCAGCCAGAAACACAGGGGGCCTCCTATTTCCCGTCCCATACCCAAATCTCTTAAAAAGCGCGTCTGCCAAACGCGCATCTGAGCACAGACCTGATCCAGATTTTTGAAAACTCTATTGAACGTCACAGTCCAAGCTGGCACCGCCTGCGGCGCTATTGGGTCCAACTCCACCAGATCAGGAGCGCACGACAGCACGGCACATTGCCGTTCGCAAAGCGGCCTGGAGACGCGTCTAGTACAGGTGATTCTCAAACTGTTTTTCAGATAAGTCCCCCTTTTGAAAAGATATTCAGCCAAGTACCCCCCTGATCAGCCAGCAAAAACAATTAGTTAGAAGAAATTGCTATATAAAGAGGGGTACAGTACGAGTGCTGCCACCATCAGTGTCTTTGCGATTTATTAAAACAACGAGATCGGGTTAACTGCAAAAAACGACTGAGAAAGACTTAAATGCTACATTTCAAATGTTTACAATCCATCACTAAATTCATGGCAAACCAATTTTAACATCATGCAATAACACTAAGACGACATTAGTTGCATTGAACTGATCTTTTTAATAAGTTGTACTTACAATTTAGTGAGAAACATGGGCTTGTGCTTCACTGACGATCTTTGTTATTCTCAGTGACAGGAAGGCAACTGCAGTTATTGCACTTCGCGTTTTGAAATATGTGTAACTCTGTTAATTTAAAACCCACACTGCTCAAACTTTTTTTTTTTTTAACATAAAATAAATCTCACGTACCCCCTGCAGTACTCCAACGTACCCCTAGGGGTCCGCGTACCCCCATTTGAGAACCACTGCTCTAGTACATATGCCAGGCCTGTAGATGGTGCTGTTCTCACAGAATCAGCCCATAAGACAGTGTTAAAGTGAGCGAAATGAGGAATGGCTAAAATGCATGATCTGTTTGGTATTTTGACAAATAAAAAGTATAAATATGCCTTATATAGGCATGGTCCTACACTATATTATTCAAATATAGCATGATAGGTCCACTTTAACTATACTCACCAGCTGGTCACTAACTGTTGTTATGCAGTGTGATGCTGAGCAGGTTGTGAATACTGGTGGGTTTATAAAAGCTTCTTAGCTGAAGCAACAGCTTTCTGCTTCTGAAAACAAAGAGTGCTCAGGATCCTCTGCCATATTAAAGGAGCAGGCTTTAAAACGAAAACAACGACTTTGAAAACACTGAAACACTCAGTCAGGTGATCATTTGTTATGCGTATATTACTGCAAGTGAGTTCTGTCACATTAACCATAGTAAATTGATACATTTTTAATACAGTAATACAATAGCTTACAGTCGCTTTTAAGAAACATATTCGGCCTGTTTAAAAATGTGAACAGATATCCAATTCGGCTTAAATAGTTCCGTCTCAAAAACTTAAAAGCGATACCTTCTTCTCACTTTGCTATGTAACTCTTTTCATCTTTTCCACCGCCCCCCCCCCCTGTTATCTCTGTCCTCAGGCTTGCCCAGAAGCCTGGCCGCTGGTGTAGGCCTCCCAGTGAGAGACGCTGCTTCATGCTCTCTCTTTATTGAAGAATAAAGTCATTAATACAGCCCGGACAGCTAGCAACTCCTGCGTGGGTGTTCTTGTAACACAGCAAACTTGTTTAGACAGCAGAATAACTGATCAGCTTATTATCCATGCCGTTTTAAGTTTCCCTTTTTGTACTTATGGAGGGAAATCGGTTAGTGACAAGATTTACATCCTAGGAAGCAAGAAGGATACCGGTGGGATAAAACGGGGAGAAATGTGTTTACCACACAGATATTGGTTATGTGGTTTGACAGGTGGAATTCATTAACTCCACAATCTAATGTGGTAAAGCCCTCCTAAAGCACACGCTGTAATCCCTGTGGGACCCTTCATAACTCTGTCTGCTGTGCCTCACACACTCGGGGGCTGTAATAATCTCTAACTGTACTCTGCGAGCACATATTTCTTTCTCTCTCCATTTCTCAGCTTGTCTGCTTGCCAGTCCTCTATCCGTCTGCTTCATTCACACAGTCACATCATCCGCGCTGCACTTTCACAGCCGCCGCTCTTGTCTTTATTCATTCTTTACACATTCTCACTCTGTTCTCCGTGCTGCTCTCTGACCCAAACAGCTGGCTGTGTAGGAGGTGCAGCTCCTTTCCTCCTCCACACATAAACAAATCTTTGAGTCTCGGATCCTGGTAGACTGATCTCATCTGAGCAGGATCAGGTGGTGTTTCTGGTTCCTCTGTGTTTAATGCTGCCTGCTTAAGATGGTACGCCCGTAGGCATGTCCGACCCCTCTCTGTTCCCCCTCTCAGTTGCCCTCTCCAGGGGGCTTTCGGTCAATCTTTCCACGTCGTTGCATATTGTACAGCGCTCGACCGTCTAAGCCCTCATCACATTGGTTAACCCCCCCACAGACTCTCAGCCCCCCAGGCAGCTCCAGGCCTTCACCCTGACCACTGCCTCACAACTCATGACAAGCACATGATGTGAGAATGGCCATGGCTCAGGTATTAACTGAGACAAAATGTGAAAACAGAGAGACAAGAGGATAAAGGCGAGCTCGTTGCACTTTTTCTATAGCGTTGCGTTTTTTCCTCAATATCAGTCCTTCTACTTTAACACACCGAGTTCCACACAGTGAGGTAGATGTTGGATGCTATAATCTGTACCCTCCCCTCAACAACTGCTCTTAAAAAACACACATAGAAACACTGTGTAAATACTGGTTAATGCGCTGCTGACCGGCAAAAGAGAAACAGCAGGGTGTGCTTTAGCTTCCTGATGCAGCGGCCTGAGTATTAGTATCATTCAGACAGACGCTTTATCAGGAGTGGACAGACTTTTGTGTCACATGCAGCTTAGCAGAATTTGATGACATTTACTTTCATGGTGATAATACCAATTGTTAGAGGAAAATCATGTGCTGCGGATTTTGAATACATGTTTTGAGTTTGAAAGTGAGCATACTTGTAAAGCATGGGGTCTGTTATGTGCTTGTGTAGAGACTGCCATGATGTTTTGCTGTATGAAAATGGAATGAACATCATTGAAGTTGCTTATTCTCTGGGGAATTAATTCTTTTCCATCCTCCATGTGTCTTTTAACAATTGTTCTCATCATTTTAGGCTCTTGAACTCATGTTTTTACTCCCCTCTGTTGTATCATCTTCTCATTCAAATAATTCCCATTACACAAGGAGCCTTTTTCTTCTCATACTTGTTTGGTAAATGTAGTTGGTTTATTGTATCTCTGTCGTAGCAACAGTTTGGTGTGCTGTAGCCACTTTCTTTTCTATGTTTCTTTGTCAATTTCTTTGACAAATTGCTTCCCTACACTTACTCTCCCCCCTCTGTGTGGAGATGCAGGGGGGCTCCAGATCCCCGCTGGCAACTCTGAAGACTCTCCTCTTTTCTTCATTCTGGGTTTATCAAAGTAAAAGCTTCATCAAGAATCTGTACTGTATTCAGCCCTGTTCATATTACAGCACAGCAGTTTCTGCCTTTAGTGTGAGTGGATGTTAAGGCTTTAATGTTCTTGCATCGCTCAAGAGGCAGCAAGAATACCTAACTTTGAACCAAGATAAAGATGATAATATATTGAAATTAGTTCTCTCTGTAATCGTTTGCCTTTCTTTGTCTCTTTCTCTCCTGCTGTCTCCCCACAGAGACCTTTGAGTCTCTGATTTGGCAGGCTGAGAATCACACCAATGTGGTTCTCCAGGCGTCGTACCGCAGCATGGCTGATCAGGCTGTTGGCCCGGTTCGGGAACTCTTCACAGACATCAGTCTCTTCCTGCTGGGGTCTGAGCTCAGCGTTGATGACTTGGTGCAGCGATTCTTTGACGCACTCTTCCCACTGGTCTACAATCACCTCATCAACCCTGGCCTCAGCGACATATCACCGAGCTACGCTGAGTGCGTGAGATCGTCCAGGCGAGATGTGAGACCGTTTGCCGCAGCGCCCGGCCTCCTGGCTGACCAAATTGCTCGCTCTGGGGTGTCTGGAAAACTGCTGATTCAGGCACTGCACCTGGGCATTGAAGTCATTAATACAACAGACCACTTACAGCTGAGCCGCGAGTGCAGACGGGCCCTGCTCAAGATGCACTACTGTCCTCATTGCCAGGTATGGATTTAGATCTCTGAAGCCAAGTACATTGATCTGAATTGATGAAAGTATTTTTCAGCATTACTGATCACAAAGTAATTTGCTCCACAGGGCTTAACCCAGTCCAAGCCCTGCATGGGTTACTGCCTCAACGTGATGCGAGGCTGTTTGGCAAGCATGGCAGAGATCGACAGCCACTGGAGAGAGTTCGTCCACTCGCTGGAGGGCCTGTCAGCACGGATGCAAGGGCCTCAGGATTTGGAGCAAGTGCTTCTGGGAGTTCACACGCTGCTTCATGATGCTGTCGGACATGCCCAGAAAAATGGGCCTCGCCTCTCTGCACAGGTCAGATCTTCTTTAAGGAGAGATTAAGCACTGTTTAAGATGGTAGAATCAAAGCTGTACTAGGGCTCTGTGGGAGCACATAGGAACCACCGGTCAAGTGGACAAGAATAGATAAAGTAAAAGGTATTTTTGTTAATATTGGAGTGTTTTTACTTTGAATTTCAAGGCTATTCCAGCTGCCAGCTCCATACTAAATGGTTTGAGGTGTGGAGACCAAAGATAAATTGCACAAGTCACACACAACAATTTGTCCAGAAATACATCCCCAAGGTGCTCAGAATTGTTGTAGTTAGACTGTCAGACAGGGGAGGATTCAGTGTCAACAGCCACTCTTCAGTTTGGGACAATGGGTGTAAACCTAAGGAGTCTTTATTCTTAACACAAGTGATCCATCAAAGCCTAACCATAAAGTATTTGTTTATGTACTAAATGTAACTTTCTGTTTACATGTATGTTGCTTGTTTAGTTAATGCCTCAGGATGTTTTTCCCTGAACCACACTAACATTCCTGTTCTGAGACCCCACATCTCCATCTAGTGGCTGTCTGGTGTCTCTGCTGCTTGATAAGATTCACATGAAATACATTTAGAAATTTGAGATGATAGGCTTGGCTGCACTAATGGCCTTGGTATAAACAGCTGTCATTCCAGCATCTGTAATGAGGCCTATTCGTCATGCACCAGTACAATTTTCCAAGACTTAAAATGCAGGGTTCTCCCTCAGTGTTTAGGCCTAAATCTGTGCCTGTCTCTTCGGGTAATAGGTGCACAAACTGTGTGGCACACCGAGCAGAAGGCCTGCGCAGTCAGTCAGCCTCCAGCACAGCAGCCGGGACTCAATCCCTCTTAAAGCTGCTCTCAGTGGATCCGGGGACTCGCTGGCTGTGAGGAGGAGGTACGTGGGTTAAAGAATGAAGCGTCGTTTTGTGATATTAGTACGTAAGCCTACTATAAGTAACCCCCCCCCACACTTTTTCAGGGACTTTCTAAACAGCTTACGCCTCTACCGTACGTTCTACGGTGGCCTGGCCGATCAGCTGTGTGTGAGTGAGCTGGCCTCCGGTGACGGGCAGGCCTGCTGGAATGGAACCGACATCGTAAAAAGGTGTGTGTGTTTTAAAGAAGTCAAGGGGTCACTTAAGTCATGTGGATGTTTGACATTCACTGTGAAACAAAGAAGGCTGTATTTACCTTCCTCTGCTGAGGGGGAAAGTCTCTAAGCTCACATTACATAGGTATATTCGTCAAAACTTGTTTGGGAGTCCTGATCCAATACACTGAGAATGGACTTTTCAGTAATGTCAAAGATTATTTAGGTTTTGATTGTTTTAAGTAACTTTTCTTTTACATGAATAATTCTCATTTTGTAGATTTAAAAGAACATTTGTGAGGTAATATTGTGCAATTGTGCATCTCTTTTTTGTAAATTTGATGTCTTCAAAAAACATGTCAGGATATGTTAGTGACCTGCCACACTGGCAGATATATGAAAAATCAGACCCTGACTCAACAGATAAACATCCAACAACTATACATATTGGTTTTTAAAGGGCTTTCCTTTGAAGGGTTTCAGCTCCAGAGACATATCACTGTACGATCCTGGAGCAAAGGCTGTTTGCACACCATTTTTCCCTGATCTAATGCACATACACACACCCTTCACATACACAGTGCCCTCAGGAACCGGATGACACCGATGTAGGATTCATCTATTAACCGTTATTGCTCTCAGACATAGATCTTGGATATGAATGGTTGTGAACTGGAGCAGACAAACTGGTCTCTTTGGTAGTATCAGTCAGCGGCCTTGTCTCCATTACATCACGACTCTCCATCCTACCCATGCTGTCATCACTCAAGGACCCCCTCATATATCCGCAGTCTGTGGTGGTTCGTCTTAACTGTCAGCCGCTTTCAGCGCTGTAGAAATGGCGAGTGGACCCGTATTTCAAACAACAGCGAGGTGGAAGTTGCCAGTTCAGGTTAGACGGCCCATTGTAAAGGATGACAGCCTTGTTGAGATCGTTTCACAGCGGCTGTGTGAAGGTATAAAAAAGGAGGGAGGACCGGGGGAAAAAAAGTCTTTCACAGCCTTCATAGCAACCAGAGACACTCTGAAGTATGTGAGAGGCTGCTCTTCAAAAATTGCATTACTATGGAAACGGAGTATCAAGGTTAAGTTTCATTCTGCTGTTGACAATTTACACTTTTTATCTTTTGTTATTTTCCAACATAACACCTCAAGTTTCCATTACAAAGCAGGCAGCCATCTCTGAGAATAGAGATGTTTCTTATGTGCTGGTGAGAGAGGCAGGCCAGCATGCTGCCGACTGTCTGTCATCTCTGCAAGTCGCCTCCGGGAAAAATGTTTATGGTCTGTGCGGGCTTCTCTCAGCTCTCCTAACCTGCCTTCCTCTTTTTCTCATTCACTCTTATTTTATAGGGAATCGCTCACCTCAGGTTCACCCATAGGTTCTCATTTTGATTCGCTCATTACCCAAAAAAACAGATGAAGAAAGCTATGGGGAATTGTGAGACATTAAGAAACTGGGGAGACGAGGCTCTGAGGAGGCTATCGAGCTGCGGCCCCGCAGCTTAGCAGGCTTCCTGCAGATCTACAACCCGGTGCTGCTTTCTATTAGCCTAGAACCATAGATGAGTGGCTGGGAGTCAACACAGGCTGAGACAAAAGCAATAAATAACCTCCTGCCTATGGGTCATAACCCAACATCCACTGAGAGAGAGGGAATAAAACTCACTGCCGGATGGTGGCTGATTTACAGAAGCTTATCGAGGCCTCTGAGACTTTAAACGATTGGTTCAGTGTGTGTTTGTGCTTGTGTGTGTGTGTGTGTGAGAAACTGTACATTTGAATGTGTGTGGAAGACAACGGCTCTTTGTGTGTGCTGCCGCAGATTGTTTTATGGCCTGAAAGTAGTGAGTTGCACCAGAGCGTTGTCTTATTTAACAAAGAAAAAAGACAGGCACAAAAAAACATGGCACAGGAGTCGGAGATTGAAGGGAGATTTAATGCACATCCTAATCTGGGTCCCTGGTAAACAAAAAGATAAAGAACAATCAGATAAGATCAGAGAGGAAGAACACAAGCTGCTTTCATCTCAATGTCTGTGTGAGTGTGGATGATGGGGTCTCGCTTCAGGGGACATTTGGTAAACAGATTCTTTCTCTCAGTCTCTCTCTCTGGCGCGTCCCTCGCCATGACATTCAGAATGGGAGGAAAAAAAGATTGGACATTATATTTTCTGATTAGTATTATGGCTTATTAACAGTTTTCTCTTCTTTTGTGACAGTCAATGATCCCACACTGAGTCTCTGCATTGAATTGAAACTGGAGAGGTGTTATATTATGTTCACAGTAACAATGTGAATGATGCAGAACACAATTATCAAATTTGCAAGGACCTGGATATCACACCTCTGTATACTCACACTTCTGTTACCATCAGAACTGTCTGTACCAGAGGTCGGTATCTAATGCCTTGCCACATTTATTCTTACCTTTTCAATAATATCTATTTGGTCATTTCATGCCAAATTGGTGTCTTGTTAGCTAGCAGAGTTGTAGTATAGTTTGTGTTCAGGCCAGCATTTCAATAATATAACTTTGGTCTTATATAAACCTGCAAAAATACTTGGACACTTGGGGTCACTGTAAACGCAATGATGGACAATTATCACTTTCTTAAGCACTAAGAGTTGCAGACTTAGACATCCACCAGATAGTAAGCAGATATAGAGGAAGCTTTAATAGCTTTAATTTGGAGTCGAGTTTGTGTCTTCCTTGATGACTATTTGTCAAATCTTAACTCTATTTTTCTAAATGTTTGGTCCCAACAAAACCCTTAGAGAAATTACTGGGTCTCTATTAGGTTCCCTGGCTATCAACAATTGATGCTGAGCAGGTAGTATTCAAATGTTTGTTGTTGTTAAGCTTTTTACTGAAAACGGCAATAAGAGCTTTGAGAGTGAAACACTGATGTTTCGAGCTATAAAGATGAACTCAGATGCTAAAAGTCTCCTGAGCTGAGGGGAGCTGCGGAAGTGGGTGATGTTTCTCTGTGTTCATCACTAAAAGCAGCCTCTTTGAAATACAAGTACTTGTGTTATACCTTGGAGGGTTTGTTTTGCCCTTGTGTTAGACACTTCAAGACTGATTAAAAAGTTGTAGTGATTTATGTCACTGGACGGCCAAGAGGCAAAATAAAAGTAAAACAGTGAAACATCCCTCAAACCGGATCAATCTGGAAGTGACGGTGATCTTTTTCGGTTGGAGGCGCGGCCCTGTCTCTGCAGAAAGGTTAACACATTCCCACATGCTTTCTCCATCCGTTCATGGACACACACACACACAACACACACACACACACGTCATGGACACACACACACACACACACACACACACACACACACACACACACACACACACACACACACACACACACACACACACACACACACACACACACACACACACAGGTTGCCAGGTTGTCTTTGTTCTCTATCAAAGTAACAGACTGACAAAGACACACTTTTATTAGATGATGGTTTGCAGTGATCCTCATTCCTCATCAGTTTCGACACATTCACCTTCTATTTCAGTTTGACACTTGAATTTAAAAAGTATATGTAAGCCTGCGCAAAGAAATGTTTGTTACTAAATTATTTTCTCCCTGATAATGAGCTGCAACCAGTTACAGCAGTGCTAAAACGCTGTGGCCTTACTGTGTATGTGTGTGATGTATTATTCATGATTCCTTACTCCGGCGCAGACTCACTTTAATTCATCCCCACCTGCAGTCTGTCTCACGGCTGCCAACACACACCAGGTGTTTGGCGGTGTGTTTATGTTTTCAAACGAGCCTTTTTCTAATTGAGTACAATGGTTTTTATTTTTATTTTAACGGTAACAAGGCAACTGACCTTGCATGCTGTTGAAATATAACATTGGAGGGATGAGTAATGCGGGATAAATGCTACAGTATGTATTGGAAATATTCTTGAAGGCAGGTGGGCAGAATTAAGCGTGGCCTTCTGTTTAATAGGCCACCCTTCATGCTGGAGTAGATGTCTGAGCGCCGACCTTTAACCTTTCTGTCTCTGTCTTTGCCCGGTTAATCCTGCAGAGGTTAATCACATGGTAATAAGAGCCCTGGAGTTCAGACCTCTCCTCAATGAGGAGCCAGTCAGGAGAGGACAGGGGTGATTCTGTAAATGTAGGTCTATGCTGCTCTCTTTCATATATTTTTTACTTTTCCTGATACGCCTCTTCCATCATTAGTCTCATTTCCGCACTCCCCCACTAGACGTGAAGCTCAGGTGATTTGCCTTGGCTTAACTGAAATGACAGCTTTTAAGCTCTGCTAATAGGAATCCACTGAGAAAGCATCAAGAGCTTAGGTTATCCCAGGCTGCACGGGAACATGCTTCCTCATCTGAGGGCTGTCTGGCCTCACTGCTGCAAAACCCACACAATGTGCCCATCAGGGGACAGTATGTGTTGAATAATAACATATATTTTGCTCTAACTCTTTTTTTACTTGTGAACATTAAAACAGCAATAACCATTTGTGCCACCTTCCCACAAGTTGGTAAATGAACTCTTTTGTTAATTTATTAGTGGTTGTTAATATGTTGTTTTTACAACTCCTCTTTAAAAAAATATGAAATAACTTCAATAAAGGTATCTGAGAAAACTACTGAAAACTGCAATTATTTAAAAAAAAGAATACTATCTAACCAAGTCCAAAATCAACAAAATACAGTAATTTATGATACATAGGCCATATACAATTAAAACATGACATTTTTCCTAAATTAGTCTTATGAAATTGCTTTGTTTGTTTCTAGAAATTTGGTAGAGGAACACGCCACTTTGACGGTTTCAACAAATCACAAGGGTTAAGAAAAAGTATTTGTAATGTCAAACTCTCCATATGCTCACATTAGCATATAACACTGCTGTTTATCTTTGTACAGTGCAAATAAATGCCCACTCTTCCTCCATTAATAATCCTGCTGGCAAAGAGGTAGTGCCCATTCAGTAAAATGACTGTGGTCATTATAGTCGTAAATCCAACAACGGTT